AATTTATTTTGTGATTTGTTTATAGACACGTATTCAAGAGATCATATATATGTAGGTATACCTACATACGTATTCCAAATCTTATCGGCGTGGTAAAGAGTGTAACGTTAATTATGGCAGAGATATACATATAGTTTTTAAGTATACCTTTGCGGTTAGCAATCTGTCAAGACCTTTAAAGCTGCAAATAATTTCCGCCCACTTCAAAAAACCTTCACGATTCTTTAAGAAGCTGCCCTATGTTCGTGTGTATCTGTGACCACAGGTACCCGCTTTTAATAACTCCTTTACGACGAATGAGTAGCTCCAGTGTTAAATTAAACAATTATGGCTCAGCGTACCTCCTATCATATCATATCACTGTAATAATACGAATATTAAGGAATTCGAATTGTGCAAACTTTAGCGCTTTAATTTTGTTTCAGCGACATCTAACGCATAAATCCATAAGCGTCATATTACAGTTTTAAACGATACATGTTTATACTGCTCCACAATAGAGGGCGCCTTTAAGTATACCTAAATAAAGTCACTAATATATATATCTAATAATATATAATATATCTAGTGACTTTATACCTAAATTTGTTTCCCAAAAAATGCATAAGGTTAGCAATCTGTGTATGCTTATCTGTGATATCAGGGACAGACCGCGAATTTTTGCGCTACCCTCGTACAAGTCGTACACAACTTAAAAAGCAGATGATCTTTTCAGAACAATTCACAGTTGACGGAACGCGAAGTTAGGCCCCCATCTTTTCAAAATTGATTTTTTAAGTCTTCCTAAGAGTCATCACGAACTTTATACGGGGGGCCTACAGAACTCTAATTACGATTGCCAAGTTAAAATGAGGGGCAAACTTCACATGCGCCATGTAATTGTTTATTCGGAAATAATGAACTGAAATGTAAAACTCGGGATAGCGTATAGGAAGCATATTATAATCGCTTTAATTATATTCCTTTCTGAGCGCCTATCGAAAATTCAGGATGCGGTTTAACATATCCGTTAAACTATGGCAAAATTAATGTTTCAGTAGTCGCGCAGGGAAAACGGTACACGTAGAACCCTTAGCTACCGTAGGGGTGTAAAAAGACCACATTTTCGGAAAACCGTTCGCATATTCCACCAAGAAGTCATCACTACCCGAGAGTCATCTCTAGTTAATCGCGGTAAGTAGTTCAAATTTAAATGACGTCAGTATTTCCTGTCCAATCAGCTTTGCCAAATTATTAGGTCAATGTTTTGTTTATCGCTTTTGACGTTTCAACGGCTGGTAGGAAATCTCACAGGTGGTTTGGGGTAAACGGCTTAAATTTTTACGAATTGTTCCACTTTTCGTTTCTTATTTTTGTTAGAGCTATGCTAAAACTCTTAGTTTAACCTAAAATGGTAAGTTCACTAGAAGAAATCTAATCTTTAAATGTTTAGTTCTAGATGGAGTATGATTATTTAATAAAATTCCTAGCACTAGGAGATTCTGGTGTGGGTAAGACAAGCTTCCTGTACCAATACACCGATGGAGTCTTCAACGCTAGGTTCATTTCGACCGTTGGAATAGATTTTCGAGAGAAACGCCTAGTCCACCAGTACAAAGGAAGGAACCACCGAATTAATTTGCAGCTGTGGGACACAGCGGGACAAGAGAGGTTTGTATAGTTTCGATACCGACTCGGCTATCTAAATGTTATTGTAAATTAACACAAGGCATGAAAGTTATGTAGAATTGTAGTTTAGTAGCGATATTGCTATAGATTCCGTAGTCTAACAACAGCATTCTATCGGGATGCCATGGGATTCCTACTTCTGTTTGATCTCACTAACGAAAAGTCATTTCTCGAAATACGTAACTGGATAGAACAACTGCGGGTATGCAAATAAAGTGCATAGTTTTAATCTTTAATTTGCCGCTTTATTTTTACTTCCTTTCTGCACATTTTCTTTATTTGCATATGAAGTCAATTACGTTACATGTACACAGAAATATTCTGCCACTAACTGACCGGTCATAAATTGTAGATGCATGCGTACTGCGAAACACCAGATATAGTGCTCTGTGGTAACAAAGCAGATTTGGAAGACCGACGAGTAATTAAGGAATGGCGCGCCAAGGAGTTTGCCGATAAATTGGGGTAAATAAATTGCGTGTAATGTCGGTCAAATAAAAATAAACCGAATCGCAGGATTTCTTATTATGAAACGAGTGCAGCTACTGGACAAAATGTGGCAATAGTCATAGACGCACTTCTGGAAAAAGTTATGATTCGAATGGAATCTGCTGTCGACAAGGCTGTGCTTCCAGGACGTAGAGGTAGATCGAGAGATTTGAATGAACCGGAAGAGTACAGTCCGGTCGCATCATCATCATGTTCTTGCTGACATTAATGCCACTTTTCTTCAAATTTGTATTTATTTTCAAAATATAGATCTAGAGTTGTAGATTTTGGAATTCATATATTGTACCCTTTAGAATAAGTGATGTAATCACCTTGTTTACTGTTGTGAATAAAGTTTATTTAATATTAAGTGCTCATATTTAGCTATGAAATCGAGACAGCACTTACTGGTAGGAAGTCATTTGAGGATGAGCTATTTTTAGGACTGTCTTTGCTGTGTAGGTGTATGCATGGCAGTAGAGGCCATTATTATTAAGCCCTGAGGACAAGGTGGGCGGAGGCGGTAAACGGCGCACCCTAAATATTGGCATAAAAAAGGCTGAAGACAAAGATGAAGGATCATTTCATGAACAGAACTTCCAAACATAAACGGGCGAATCTGCCCTTGGAAATTAAAAAAAATTTCATTTTTGTTGTTACTTATTGTAAACGGATAAGCGTTCCAGTCAATGTGATGATAGATAGTTATTTATAATCGAGGTAAAAATTATCCAGAGCTTTACTATCCCCCTTTGGGAATGTTGCCATAATAATACATATTATCGCCGCCACAAGAGAAGAGCCCTGCGTCATCAATGTACGAATGCATAAATCCAAGGTGTTGATACTTATATCTCAAAAATTTGCGCAACCCAAAAAAGGACAGAGAACGAAACAAGTTCTTGGGATATAATAGACGTGCGCTTTTGAAAAGCTAAATGTAATGAAAAGAGATAACCTATAACGCTTGTCAAGTTTAACATGCATATTTGATGCTGATTTGACCAACGTCGTATTACTCCTAATTATTTTCAAATTTTCCATAACCTCTTTTGCTCTTCGTTTTTGTCATTCTTCTTTTACTTACGTTTTTTTTCAACTTTCCTGTTCTTTATTGCATTTTAACAAAAACAACTGAATTGGGATTTGCTGTTGCTCTTTTTAAACCTTTGCGAAACTACGCCATCTAGTACATTTTTCAACAACTTTAATATTGATTATTACGGAACTATTTTGACTTTGATTTTAAATCTTAAATCACACGCTTGTAGATGATGACGCAGGGCTCTACTTCTCTTGTGGCGGCGATAATAGTAATCTCATGAATCCTGAGAGGTACCACCTTAGTAATCTAGGGACTTTAGTACCACCTAAAGTCACTAAATATAGAAAGTACCGCAATCCATTGGGCTCGTGTGTTAGAGAGAGAACGCATGATTTTTGCCCAAAAATGGCGGAAGTTACCAGATTCTAGTAACTTTAATGTTAGGGATTGTTCCATCTGTTTGGAGATATCTGTATATATTTTTCTTAGACTATGAAAGAAAGGGGACTGATAATATCCTATCAAGGACAATGCTGTGCGTTGAAGCCTGGGGCGTCCATATTTTCGGAGCCAAAGTTTGCTTAATTTTTCATTTTCATGTTTATGCGATCCTTAAGTCTCGAAATTTGCGATTAAAAACATTATTGGACAATGGTACATTGTAGTGCACGGAAGTGATAGCCAAAAAACACACGAAAGTATATGGTTTCACAGGTATATAAATTATAGGTTAGTTTTCGGTGAAATAACAAACAAATGTGGGCTTCACTTTACCATCATTATTATCACTCCTCACTCTTTCCTTCTCTAAGATATAATTTTTATAAAACATGACAGTACTATGAAGTTAGGTTATAAAAAATTACAGTTATTCAGATTTTATTTGTCAATTTTTTTAAGTAGGCAGCAAATTTCCCCAAAAATGGCGGATGATTGCGGTACTTTCTATATCTAGTGACTTTAGTACCACCTAAAGTCACTAGATATAACATTAAAGTTACTAGAATCTGGTAACTTCCGCCATTTTTGGGCAAAAATCATGCGTTCTCTCTCTAACTCACGGGCCCAATGGATTGCGGTACTTTCTATATTTAGTGACTTTAGTACCACCCTACCATGCGCGTCCCCAAGTGGCGGATAGTGGAACGAACGGCCTAAGAGAATGAGCATAGGGTAAAGGCCGAAACCCATTGGCAACACGCCACGCCACGCTACGCCACGCCACGCCATGTGGCATAGGTTCACGTGGGACAGTTTGTGTACATATTTGTAACACGCCACGTGATGACACGCTTGTCATTTTATTTAAAAAATTGGCAGTAGTAACTTTGAGTGCGATGGATTACACTAGCGCAAGCAGTTCGTCTAGTGAGAGTTCTTTAGAAGAATGTGTTGCTGCTGCCATCGTTTTGAATCAGAAAAAAAGAAGATTCTGGGTGCACAAAATAAACCAAAACCGGAAAAAATATGGTTCTTTTCATGTTTTAATGAGAGAACTGGAGGCAGATCGTTTAACTTTGAATTTCGATTTATCAGTTATTCGGTTATCGATTTGTGTATTATAAACCAAACGGTAGAGGTCTCGGGGATTGCCATGGGAAGAGAAGAGTAGAGACAAACATCAAAGGAAGAAAGAAAGCAGAAGAATACTAGAGGTGGAGGAAGAATCAGACACAAGGACAAGTAGCCAAGGAGAGGAGGAAAAGGGGACAGAAAGTAACGCAGGGGGAGGACAACAATAAAAAGGGCCTAACAGGAAAACAGGGAAGGGAACGAGACCAAAGCATAGGAACATCGGAAGCCAATGAACGCCCGGAGAAGGAGCTATCACTAGAAAGCAGAGTTCCCTCTAAGGCAGAATACCAGTGGCGAAGTTGTGGCCGTACCCGTTCGGGGTCGGATAACACCCAGTTAGCCGCCCCCCTACAACCCCCCAATCCGCAAAATCCACCACATTGTTTGGCATATGTCGCGGCCCAGCGCGATGGTAACAAAGTAGTGGAGAAACGTCCCTGATAGTGACTACCGGGGACGCATCCCCACGACAGTTGACTAAATTCTGGGAGAGGCGGCGACGCCAGGCATATGTCAAAGTTTCAAGTTTCAAATCCTTTAATACCTAAACCTAACTTTCCTTTTTTGATTACGATATTTAAAAACGTTCTACTCATTCGTGAAAGACATTGCATACTTAATAAAATTTTAGGTGATTTTCTACTTGTTCGCCATCTAACGGTCACATTCCCGCGGAATGCCCCTCTTAAAATAAATACGGAAACAGATTGCCGCGGGAGTGGAGAGGCGACCGGGGAACATTCACACGTACCAACACGCGTCGGTCACATCTGAGCGTTTTGAATCGTCACACGTGAGGTGGCGTGGCGTGGCATAGCGTGTGTCAAGTGTGTACGCGGTACCTACATGTAAATAAATGGATGAATATACGCATACATTTTCGTCACATGGCGTGGCGTGTTGCCAATGGGTTTCGGCCTTAATGCTAGCTCGTTGCATGGCTTATATGAATGACAGCATCGTGGACCAGGGGAAGTACGACGCCCGGCTATCGTGTATACGTGCGTCAACCATGTCGATACCATACGCACTAACCTGGTGAGTTCAGGATGGTACAGCGAGTCTTGGTTTAGCCGCCTGGGCCAAGAAGAGCGACCAGCTCAGCAAATACCTATAAATGGGCGAGAGCCGGACCGCATGGGCAACAAGCTTCGAGATGTCTCTAATTGTCCACCACAAAACGGTGTCGAAAGAGGAGACGGGGCGAATCAAAACCTGAATCTGGATCCTTGATAGAGCCGGCGGGCGCTTTATGCAACGGGAGTGATTTGTGTCAAATTCGCCACCGAGGGGAGTGCTGTTAATCACATGCGCATATCAGGTACTGACTGGGTAAGAGGTCGGAACTGGGGTGGGGAGAGTGGCTCCGTGTGGAAGGGGGTGAAGCTTCAATTCGTCTAAGTGATCAAGGGACTAGAGAGACAAAAGTTTGATTGTCCTTATGGGCCAAACTTCCTGGGAGATGGGAACCACTTTCAACCATCGGCCCTACGTGAACTTCACCAGAGTGACGTTCAAACTCTTCCCCAAAACGAAGGTGGAGGGAGAGAAGGTGACCACCATGGAGTGCGAAGAGGCACAACGACAAGCAACTGTGCCAGCCACCTTAGCGTCTTAGTAATACCAGAAGGGGGCCCCCTAATTAACTTTTCTTCTGTTTAAAATGCGGGATGGTCTACTTTTGCTTGAATACCTACATACCGCTGGCATTCTCACTTACACTTATATAATCGCCACAGCATAGAGCACTGCAGAAAATTGACCGCTACTCTCCGTGTTGTACATACAATACGTTGGCAATACGCGACCCGAACCGGCGTGTGGGATTACATATAACACAGCCAAAAAAGAAAACTCACGAAAGAGCACTACACTACAGGCACTGGTCCAAAATTTCAGGACAGAGCCGCCATTCCAAGATCTTTCTGGAAACCCCCAACGGAGAATTAACAGCGTCCATCTTAAAGCTAATAAATAGGATGAAGATAAAATTTGCGACACCCACTGTCGACAATTTATTTAGTGTCGCCCGCTAAAAAGACGTAATTTCCCAGGACTTTATCAAATATACAGGTAGTCTGAAAGGGAAGATGATACCCATGAGCATAATAGACCAAAGGTCGCAATGCAGTTTGATCTAGCATGGCGGGTTAATTTTAGGAGAAAAAAACACATTAATTATAAAATATATAAAAGTGTATTTTCTGCATATTTCATTGATTTGTGTGACTAGATATGTTATGATTTGTCTCACCTTGTCGATATCTACCAAAGCAATCGAATTTGAATGAATGAATTTTTTACCAAACCATTCAAACAAGTAAATGATGGTACTTTATGCCTATTTTGTATCAAATAATTAGAAAAGACTATCAATCATTTTCGACTACTCTCACATTGCAAGTAAAGACTAATTGATGTACTTATTACTTTAACTTTTTATCTTGAAAATTAAGCTGACTATTTGTGCTACTACTATCAACCAGCTCAACGGCACATTTCCGTGGGAACCAGCCTCGCACCCTCGCAATAGATTGTTCAGATGCATCTAATTGTGCTTGTATTTTTTCGCCAAACAGCCAGTGCCTGAAAATATGTCGCCAATATACATCACGTATTTAATTCATGAGGGCTTACTTTCTCCACCTACTCACAATAACGACATCCCCTTGTTTAAGTTTTATTCGTGGTTCATCTGTGCAGGGAATACTTAAAAACACCCTTAACCCCTTTGTAATGGGAAACCATGCGCCTGAAGCGGGATAAAGAATATTGTACAGTTTTGTTCTATGCCGTTTATCGGTCTTTTGTGCCAACTGTTCTTTCTGTGAAAGTAGGGATGTAAATTTTCACAGCAGTTAAAATAAAAAAGAAGAGTTACTGTAAGCGTAAATTGATCACAGCCTTCGGCGACTTCCCACAATATACCATCACCCACCGGTTCACATCCAACATTTAAGACTTGCCGCACGTTCCTCCACAATCCCAAATGGTACGGAAATACAAAGGTGTCGTCTGTGTCTTTCCTCCTGTAAATTGCTTTTTCCAAAATCCAATCTTCTATACCGGTACGGTTTCTAATAATTGCACGTAACTGAAATTTCCCCAGCTTTATACTTGAAACAATTCAAGCCGTAGACGGGCCACAAGTAGTCATACTATAAGGTTTGAATTTGGAGTTTAAAATCTGCACCCTCTCCAGATGACTATACACACTTTCCAAGACTCATACATGGGTTAAGAAAACCCTCTAACACTCATCAAATCATTTAAATGTCCAAACTTAATGCCTTCCATGCCACTTTGAATTAAAATAACTCAATATCTCTATTTGTGGCCCCTCTACGCCTTCGTAAAACAAAGTGTACTCCCTACCTGTAAACCTAGTAGCATACCCACAGCAAGCACAACCCCCACCGCTAATCCTAACCCAAATACGGTTAAAATTAACCCATACAAACCAAAATGAACTATGGGAACGTTTTGAATATTATGGTACATATACCATGTGCGATTAATTCCTCTATACAAGGAAAATGATAAAATTGTAGAAGAATGCCCACATCCTACTACTGCAAAAAATAAGAACGCAGTAAAATGTGCATGATTACCCCATCCAACACAGTTATTTATCCATGGACAATGGTGATCCATTTTCATGACACACCGTCCACCTGATAAACAAGCTCATTTAATTGTCACCTTCGTGCGCAACTTACATTTTCGACAATGATGTGATCTGGGAGCCTTATAACCTTGGCAAACACCACACCACTGCAAGTTTTCGCATTCCTTCTCATTTACCTAAACAGCCCCGTTAATAATCAGCGGGAAAATGTGGAGAGATATTACCGGCCTCCATAGCAATGGCAAATATCCGGGACCGTGAAACATCGACGACATAAAATTATACAAGGTCAGTCCCGACATTCCCATAAAAAAGCTAGTGTTGAAAAAACCTCCCCATGTCGTACTCGGCCACCACATGCTTCCACAATATAAAGTTACACCCGTAATTAGTTTTATAATACCTAGAACTCATTAATAGTTAATTGGAATTTTTAATTGACCACCCACCTAAAGCTGTTAGTGGCCCCCAATGGCATATTCTTGAAAATGGACCGAAACACATCTTCCTTTAAGAATTTTAAATTGATGGTAAAAGCCGAAAAGATAAGCAGGAAGGTTTTTCAAAACATTTTGCTTTTTCTCTTATTTTACTATTTTTTGAGGTTATGTCAAATCGATCAAAGCAATACTTATACGAGAGCGAAATACCTACAATTCGAAATGTATACACCTGAATTGTTTGCGGTTAGAGATACAGGATGTCCAACTATAAGTACTAATTTTTTAAAATTTGATACAAGGATTATACAAGTAGATGGTTACATATAAGTATCTTCAGTTTATATGATATCGGTATATGTCGTTATAAATTAGATGCGGTTTGTTTTTACCCATTTTTGGAAATGTGTTACATTTGGAATAAGTCTTCTATACGCCTAAACCGATTATTTAAATTTTATCGAAACTTTTAGAGTTTAGAATTAAATATGACTGTTCAAAAAATATCTACGAAGTGATAATCACTATATAATATATGCATTCTATATCGAAAAATAAGGACGCTATGATGTAACTACATCCCTACAGCTAAAATCAGTAGGTTTTGTAGGAAGTAGGTCGAATAGAAATTTGTGCAGCCATTGTAACATTTTTAAGTATTAGTTGCCTTTGATTTAATACAACCATGAAGAAAAATTTATCCAATAATTTAGTTTTTGAACCAGTCATGACATAAAATGATTTTTTAAATTCATATTTTGTTGTACTTTCGTCATTCATTTTGAAATCTGATTGGTCGACATTTTATGGCGAGGAATACTAAACTGGCAGTCATTAAGTGACAAAGTTCTAAGGTCGTGACGAAGCACCCGTTTTCCGCCGAGAAATCGTACCAGAATTACCTAACACTCCGATAGATGAGCACCCAAGCGATGTAAATTGGAAGCGTTTCGTTCGACGCGAAAATATTTATTTCTGTTTTAGTAGTTGGAAACTCCAAGGAACAAAAAGGCCATTTGCGGAGCTGTCGAATTTGGAGATTTCATTCCGACTATTTGGATAAGTATAATTAACCGTAATTGGTAATTGGTTTACATGTAACCGCATCCGATTAAGTCGAGATTAACTTGAATTTTGACACCGGTTCCGTATTTTTAAGACGTCTGGAATGGACGTAATTATATTAAAAACAGTTTATTGTTATTTATTGTTTGAACGTATCGAAGTGAACAGGAGCGGGAGAATTCCAGTTTCTCCGTACTTGAACTGACCGAATTTTATAAAAGTTAAGAGGGGACTTTTCGCTTTTCGTTTTGTAAATGTAATTTTTCAGTCACTCAGCGTTATTATTAGTGATAACTTGGCTAGGGAACATTTCCGATCAAGCATTCCCCAAATAATGTTTTGGTTAGAAATGTTTACATAGGTACGATTAGTTTATCATGAAAAAATCAGAAATTTTCGTTTTTTTGCGATATTTTCAAAACTACTAAAAATATTTTTAATTTATGTTCAGATTAATGTTAAGCACGAAAATTTGCAACGTTGACTTTAAGTAACGAACTTTCTATCCCTGTATAACCGAACATTTACACATTAAAATATGCAACTGTCAAACAATGTTAGGGATGAAGATGAAAATTATGGGACCATTTTCCGGCAAGCATTTACCTACCACCAATAGAGGCGGATATAAGTATGTATTTACAGGGTGTTTCACATTGCATGTTTTTTGGAGATATTTTGAGAACCTAAAAGCGGTTTGCGCTTCTGTTTTTTCAAGCCTGGCTAGATAGACGATTTTATAATTTGGTTATTTGTGAGAATATCAAAAAGTAGAAAGAATAAGTTACGTAAAAATAGTCTCTTAGTAAAGGGGCTATTTTTATATTTTCCATAGTCTGCTTAGTTTTTAAGAGCCAATTAGATACGTACATACATATAGTTATAGGGAAATATATTGCATAACACACGTTAGGGAAAAATAGGGACACCATTATTTGGTCTTCAAAATGTATACTATAGAACGTGGAATATATTGTTCATGCAATTACAATATTTTAATAGTTATTTGCAGGTTTATCTGACTGAAAAGAGATGGATTAGACTAAATTTACGATTTATAGAATTCGAAATTAATAAGAACTACTCACAAGTGGAACTAAGGATAGGTTTTTGGTAGTATAATATAATAAATGTTAAAGATTAAACTTCATTCTCAGATTTTTATTGTTAATGTAAAAAATTATGTTAATTTCAATACGGCCATAGCGTTTTTACTTCACATGAGCATGCAACGAATAAGTAAAAGCATTCATAAAAAATGAGTTAATTGTTAAAACGGAAAGACTTCAGGCATTAATGAAATGTTAGTATCCAGCAAGATCAGCGACAGTTTGATCCATTTCATCAGCAATAGCTTTATATTTGCTTTTTTGTTGAAGCAACTCATCTGCAAAAGACAAACACACAGTTACTTTGTGTTAGTATTTATACTAAAAAGAAAGAAGTAAATACTGATGGTGTATATTCGGTTATTGTGTATATACAGTAATTATTAACACAAATAAGAAAAAATAATTCCTATGAAAACTGTTAACAGGAGCGTCTATCCGACATCGCCTCCAAACGTCTGCATTTTTAAAAGGATTTTACAAGATGAGTTCAACAAATGCAGTGTCCAAGTCATCTCCAATCTCCTTGTAACGTTCCTTCTCGGCAACGAGTTCATCTGCGAAAATTAAAATAAAATAATATGCGCGCTTTAATAATTGCATTGTGTTAGGGAACACAAAACTTACAACTGTTAAACAAACTACCAAACAAAATAAAACTTCACATTTAGTGCTGCCGTCCATTTTAGTTGAACAGTTCTGGTATTCTTACGACTTTATAATATTGCGTTGTATAACAAATTAGCTGATTTATTACTTCAGTCTCCATGACATTTAAACAACAGGTTACTAGTTATGCAAAGACTTTGTATCTGATTTAATCCAGTCTGTATGAATTTCGTGAATATACTATACTAAAAACAAATGCAACTAAAACATGCAATAAAAGCAAACTAAAAAAGAACAACAACATAAAAATTTTTTATATTAGTTCAACCACATAGAATACATAGTAAATTATTAGAATATAAACAGACTAAAAATAAAATTTGCAATTATATTTATAATAGATAAAATAATACTTTATCAAAATCTGAAATTACGAAAAGTGGTCCCTAAATTAACTGTGTACAGTAATTCAACAAAGAAGCACACATTCAAACCAAATACCAAAAAATTGTAATAAATAGCTGTGCTTCATCACATTGTTTAATTACTTAACGATACACACTTTTAAAAAAATATACAACTGTGTATTTACCTAATTCTTACAGGTTACGAAAATATACAATACCTATACAAAAATTAATCCAAAAAATACGGCGATAAATTAAATTTAATGAAATTTGCATAACGAGATACGCACAATTATAAATATTTAAGAAAAAATGGCAGTGTTGATCTAATTGCGATGTTTACGAGATCAACCCTTATGGCAACATGCAAAATTCATTAACGTTAATTTGAGAAAAAAATTTGTGCAAAATTTCAGAAACAATAGTGATGCAAATCTAAGAACTAAAATTATTGCTTTTTGCCTTGTGAATTTAAGTGTCTGTGTCGCATCAAATTACAAACGTACAAAAAAAATGCTACCGATACTTCGCTGATAAATGCAAAAAGCGTTTTATTTAAAGCTACTCTATTAATGCATTGCTGTGGCAATACACGATTGCTGGAAATGTCGAAAGAAAATGAGGGAATGTAAAATGAAATAGCTGTCAAATTACATATTTTGGATATCATGTAACGTGGCTTCCATTTCATCTGCTAGGACCTTGTTCTTTTCTTTTTCCGCTAATAAGTCATCTGTAAGGTTATTTTGTTAATAACGCAAAAAAAAAACACAACACAAAGTTAGCTGCGTTTATAAATTTTGACAAACCTTCTAATTTGTCGACTTCCTTTTGTAGTTTCTGTACGGAGCGTTCGGCAAATTCAGCACGAGCTTCAGCCTATAAAATGCACATACAATATATTATCCAAGTTATAATAAGGTTAGTGTATTTCACCGGCCAGATCTTATGCCCATCCCAAATGAGAGGATGTCAAATACATTCAAACAATAAGGAAAAATTCACTATGACTCTACAATGGCGGTGTAATACACTAAAATGAGAAATAAATCATACTTAAAACATGCAAAACTACAAAAGGCAAAACACTAAAAAACTATTTTACCAACCTTTAAATATACAGAGACCAAGCACCTTATAAAATGACCCGACATTGAGTCAACATTAGTAAAAGAGGAAGTTATGTAAATTAATCTTTTGTATTGAATGTTATTGTAGGTAATTAATGGAGTTATTTTTGGAAAATTACTGTAATTTAGCATATTAGCAAATTGCACAAAAATTAATCACAGAATCAACAGCCTGAAGCAAGGAAAGCAAAAGCGGGTGTAGTGTGTATTGGAATGTAAAACTTACTTCACGTAATTTATCAGATATGACATGAATTTTGTCCTCACAATGTTCCCTGGTAGCGGCAGCCTGCACACAATAAAACGCTAAACATGCTGTCACACTAGCAAAAGTAACCAATACCCTCGAATAGAGACAGCATTGGATAAGACTTATAATTACAACAAATAAAAAATGAACAAAGGACAGTGAGACCCCCATCTATACATTAAAAGCCGAATGCCTCGTATCTACAAGATCATTTTTTTTTACAAAAGTCTACCTCTTTCAAAGCATTGTCCAATGCCTTCGCATGGGTCGCGTAATTCTCCTCTCGGATCGTGGCCTAGATTAAGAGTTAGTTATTACAACAATTGAAAGAACTCATCATGCCTATTAGTATAAATTAAACAACAAAAACAACTCGGTACACTCCATGACATCTGTACCTCCTTTAGACGGGTTGTCAAGTTTTTAATTTGGTTTTTGTATTCTTCTTCCCTTTGATTGGCCTAATATTAAACATAAATTATTCACTTGTAATGAAAAAACAATTATTTGATCATGACTTTAGCTGTGGGAAAGTAATTTGTAACAATAAAAGTCAACCATGATCAAATAAACAATGATACTTTACTCCCATAATGGTTTATTGAGCTGTAGGTATTTTTACTGTGGGAGTAAAGTAGCCAAGTGCAATACGTTTGTCATTGACAAATTGTGTAGAAATAGACATACCTTTTCTTCAGAGACTTCTAGTGATTTAAGATTGTTGCCTACAACTCGCAATTCTTCTTCAAGCTCGACGATTTTGCTGCAAGTAGAAAATCGAGATTAAATCACCGCTCAAAAAAGTAACTATACAAATAAGCCAAGCCCCTACCTTTCACTATGTTCGGCTCGTTCTTCTGCTCTTTCCAAGTCTTGTTCCATCAAAACCAATTTACGAGCAACCTAAACATCACATACATGCAGTGTTATTGTCAATTACACTTATTATTCGGTTACAAAAACTTAAAAACAAAACTAGCTAAGTATAGTATTAGTGAAAAAAAAATATGCGAAATTAGTCCTGGTGACGTTGCTGTGTTAACAAAATAAAACGCCAAAGTACACGCTAATTAATAAATAAACATACGCTTCTCCGGCTTCCGCACGTTCTTCTGCTCTTTCTAAATCAGCTTCAACCATGGCTAATTTACGGGCCACCTAATTAATAAAGTACAATTGTAATTTCGTCGCATTTGTCGGTAGAACAATCAAAACAAAACAAGCGCTTGTTTTAATGCAACATTTTACTACGCTACTAGTTAGTAACAGTGAGAGCAAAAGAGTACCATGGAACATACTCAGCTTAATGTAGCCACCTGCTGCGCATGGAAGATTTAATCTAGCTACTCTTCTTACTTCTCCAATTTGAGGAACATAGACTTTCATCATGTGCCATTTTACTGTTACATTGTTCTTTCATCCCGTTTATCATAAATAATTAACAAGTTCGATTCTCCTTAGTTTTTCCAATCACTTACAATAATGGAAGATGCACTTACTATTGTCAATACCTACATGGTGGCACTTACTGTGAGTCAATGATTTTTGTTTGCTTGCTAACGGTACAAAGAACTGATTTTACAAAAACTTCGTTGATACACATTTCTATGGAAGGTTCATTGTCTTAATATTAATTAGATGAGAACCATTTTTTATAATATTCCACGGGTGCGAAATATTTCACTTGGGAGCTATGTCTTCAAACTACTTAGAAAACCATATCAAAAAAACTATGTCCTATTGTTTGTTGAAAAAATTTAAAGAAATGTAAATTTTGGGGCTAATGAGACATAGTTCATGAACATTTTGGTCCTTTATTTGGACAAATTTATTGTTAATTTTTTACATATAATGGAAGGTAGATGATTTTGGTTTTCACTTGCTCAAAATCAAAACATTTCAATGTAGGCCCATTAAAATGCACGTAAAATTCATTTATTCTCTGCATATGCCTATTCCTGCCCTCTCCTTCAAAATGGTCACATTTAAAAAGTCGAGTTGGATTTGATACTAAATAATTTGAAGCAAAACCCGAGGGATAATTCACGGCTAAATCTGGACTTTCTTGAAAATTATGAAGTACTAGTAGAGTTAAACCTTTAACTTGGCTGCATTTTCTAATTTATTTTATATTATTTTTGTTTCCAAATTCCATTAATTTTTTTTTATTTTTATGATATTGAGAGGTAATCAAAATTTTTGGGCGTAAATTTTCGTTCATTAGGTCCTACCTCTCATTAATAAAATAAAAATATAAAAAATTTTAATGGAACTATTATTTAAAAAAATGCATTCTTTCATATACACTATGCCCAAGATAAGGTTGTCTATCATAGGTCCCAAACCATAGAAGATACAATGATGGTCAAATTAGGGAAAAGTTGCGCAATTAAACAGTCACTATCATGGTTTAAGCGTTGAGAGATCAACTTGATTTTTTTCGAGATTTTTTTTATATGGCCTGTAAAAAAAGTACATACTGTATTGAATAATAATAATAATAATATTTGGGAATAGTATTGAATAGCTTAGCACTTCTTGGGATGGGGATAAAAAAATATTTTGGATATATTTGGGGCCTTAACGTGCAAATGGGGAGTTGACAGAAAGAAAAATTAATCGAAATAAGTACTCACTTCACGTTATAGGACAATGTTCAAACAAAAGTTTAAATAATTTCGATTCTGTACAGAATTTAATAGGAAACCTACCTTCATGGCAGAGTCTAGTTATTTGTTAACTGATCATCTCATTTCTAACAGTCCGAGAAATCTCACGGAAGTTCTTGTTCAGGTTTCAGTTAGACCTATCTGCTCCTATGTCAATACATTTGCTGCCAAAGAAGTTACCTGTCAGACAGATTTAACGATAACATGAAAAAGGCTCGAGTCTCTCCAGCTTTCCCAACCGTGAATTAACCCTCGGTGGGTACCAAACATTAAAACGTTAAAATAAATTTTGAAGTATTTCGCCAATCACTGTGATGTTCTGGTTCCATCTAAGTATTGATGTAAAATTTGAACCAATAGAAATTGTGAAAAGAATATCTCACATTTTGGTTGGATGAAAATTTGCGAGGCGCTCTTGTAGTAACTTACCTACCTTCCCAAAGCAAAAATACTATTACAAATGTAACAAACAGACCCACCCCCCTTAATCTTACGGTTTATACCATGTTCACACAACCCGAACGATATTCACTACGCACATAATATCACATTATCACATATTATCACTTGTAGATAAATTATATAGCTATATTTGTAAACCCGTAGCGATTTGTGACACCATAACAATCAATGCGAGTAGTTCCATGGTCCTCAGCTTTTCTAACCAGTTTTGAGATAAAATTCAAAAACCGGTAGCACTGATAGCACTCCAAAAATCAAGAAAGAAAATAAACAACAACACAACACCCAAATATACGCTAAGTTTGTAGTTCAACCTCATCATATTTTTTATCTGCTTCCTCAGCGAGGAAACGGGCCTCCTTGAGCTGATTTTCAAGAGCATCCATACGCTCCTCATCCGCCAAAGAACGATTCTCAAGAATTTTGCGGGCACTGAAGGAAATAAAATATTAAACACAAAGCATACAACAAATCATAAAAAAATAAAAATAAGTCGCTCTCCACCACCGGACCGACGCCACCTGCAAAATTGTCCCTATCATCCCTACTGTTCTCAAAAGAAAACTGCCCCGCCAACGGGTAACAACGGGCAATTTTCTTTCGTGGCAATGTTTCGGAATTAACAAGGTACCTCTTCGTATTTTTTATCGGCCTCCTCCGCAATTAATTTAGCTTGTGAAAGTTGCGTCTCTAATATTGCAACTCTGTCGTCTTCCATATTCGTCCTATTCTCCAACGCTTTCCGTATCCTAAATTTTGTACAAAAAAATTTAATCTCACACAGTGCAGGTCCTCTAAGCGCAACCGTGCATTTTGATAACTATTGTATAAAAGACAATCGATAGATTCTCCACTACCGAATGGTTGTACTATAATTGAGAATCACTCATTTACAACTAATTTGGTCATTGATTTCATTGTGCTCCCAGTTACACTTCAATTAATGCCATTTATTTACTAATGGAAGCTTTGGTCCATGACGTGTGAACTGTATTGTATATTTTTTTTATTACTACATAATCCCACCACGTGTACATCCCATTTATTATTGAAGTTAAAGGACCTAGCGGTGTTCCTCAAGGTTCTCGAGTTTGATCATTCCTATTAATTTCGAGACATAAATAATATTGTTGAAATTCTGTTCACTTTGTGATAAGAAAAATTCATTTTCATATAGTACAAACAAACTGATTAATTCTTATCAATGTACCTTGTAATTTATCCAATCCGATAATGTTTTATACATACAGAACTATATGAACAATAAATTAATTGATTTCTATTTCTACAATAGTCATCTCAATGCATCTGAGCAAAGAGAAGCATGTCTTGCATCTTGTTTGGACTAAGTACCATTTGATTTTTTGCGTCACCATTTAATTTTGGAGTACATTAAGAATAAAAAAAGATAGGAGTAAAATACAATGCCAAAATTATTTTCTGGTAATAACAATGTAGTGAGTGTTGTTCGAGCTCCACAATGAATCATGAAAAACCAAGATCATTTCATGACGCATTATTCATATCTTATCTCTCTAATGATATACTTAGGGTAACAATGTAAACGAGTGCAAAGCTACCGATTCAAATACCACAGGTCTTCCAATGAGTAGCATTAGGATTTATTTAATTCGATGCTTCTCTTAACTCAAAATAGGTTTGCATAAGTAGCACCTTTAGTTTACCAGCTTAAATTTCTAGGTATTCAGAGTTCCACCTATTGTGAACCACTGCAAGAACATTTTTCTTTTTTTGGTCAGGTTCCAGATAGACTTTAACTAAGATTATTATATTTTCTGCCTACTGATCTTAATTGACGGTCATCCTTTGGGTTGTTGAGTTCTGTGAGCTAAAAATTTCCGTTACAGTTTCATCTGTGTTTGGTTGAGTTGGACAAGGTGTACCCTAAGAGCAAGTAAAAAAAGTGGGTGGTTAAAAGATACAAACTAATTTGATATTATACGATTTTTTTATTGACAATCCCGAGCGGCATTGAAAACAATTTTGCCTATTAAACGAACTGTCTTTCATTTGAAAACCAAAATTTTAAATTTGGACACTACTTTCCAAAAAATTATAAAATGACCGAACATGTCAAATTTGTTTAGAAAGCAGGCCAAATTTCACCTCATTTTCCATACATTCACCTCATCCCTTTAGGATGGGCGACTTCATTTGTGTCATTGAAATTTTTAAGTAAGTGGCCACCACCTAATGGGCAAAAATGGGGTTAAATTTGGTTCTCATTCCATACAATATAACAGTTTCAGAAGATTTTCGTTAATTTCTAGGAAAATTATTTATTACACAGTGCAAAATATAATTTAGTCAATAATTAAAATCGGAATTTTGAATTTTGAAATTTTTATTCTGAAATTCCTAGCACGTACAAAATTGGAGAGGGGATGAGTATGTTTCCAAATATTTAAAAATTGGGATTCATTATTTTCATATGCAAAAGTACCTAGATAGCAAATATCGTAGGTCTCGAATTTTTTCACATACGTGTTTAGGGAGAAAGTGCACATAATTTCGACAACTACATTTTACTGTGTCTAAAATATTTTGGAAACCAGAGGTGGCAATAATTATAATTTAAAAAATCGACGATTTAAAAAGTTAAATTTAAAAATTTGGGAATCCTTGTAATTAGTAAGTAATTAGACGGAATTGTGATTTTCTTAAATTCAAAACCGAGTTCAAAACCAATTTTTTCAATTTTTTGCGATTAAAAACAAACAAATAATAACTAACATTCGTAAATAAACAAAATAATGCTTGAAATAATTATGACTTAAGACCACGTAATAATAAAGACCAAATAAATAAATAAATAAATAAAAACATGAAAATATAGAACCCAGCGATCAGCATACAATATAATTTATTTGATTAATTTAAACACATATTTAAATTAAAAATAAAATTGTGCCCTATTCCAAAAAAGGGTATAACTACAATTTAAAAATTCAGAGCACAATTCTTTAAATTGCGTTGGCAAAATTGATGAAAGTGAAAGTAACAAGGTTTTATTGCGCTTGTGTAAAGAAATTAAAAATTAGCCGTTTGTATCGATCGATTTAAAAACAATAATTTTTTTTATAGAAATGAGATTCAAATGAGTGCAGCTATGACTGTGATAGTTTTTCACGAGCTTATTGAGATATTCCACTTAAAAAAAATATGATTGCTGTCGAAACTTCCAAAACTGTACAGGGTGGTTCAAATTCGTGACCCTCCATTTGGATCTAGCGCGGCGGCGGTGAGAGATACAGTGTAGAATAGACGCAAAGAAATTTTTGCCGAGGTTTCCGTTTCGAGATTTTGTTTTTCTTGAAGATAGAGATGAAATAGGCAAAGTTTTGTTGTTTTGGGTACTGATTAAAATTACATTCACAAAATTACAAACCGAATAAAAGCTATATAGAAAAAAACTGAAACCTGCTGATTTACAAAAAAAATTAAATCTCTTCTTTAAGTGTAAAGGTCATGGCAAAAATATAAATATGTACAGGGTGGTTCAAATTCGTGGTTCACCATTGGGATCTCCGTAACGGTTAGAGATACAGTATAGGTTAAACTTTTTTGTGACTAAAATAAACGCATTTGAAATTTTTAAAAAATCTTTGAAAATAACTGAGATACACCGTGAAACAGGAATATGCCAAAGTTCATTTTCATTTTCCCTAGCTTAAACGGAATTTGAAACTTTTTAGTTATTTTCAACGATTTTTCAAAAACTTCAAATGCGTTTTTAAGTCACAAAAAGGGACCATTTTTCCCCCATTTAACATATACGTTGCGGAGATCCCAATGCTTAGCCACGAATTTGAACCACCCTGTACGTACCTACGTACTCTGGTAATTTTTCAAGATAAGGACTCGACCGATTTTATTCAAATTTGGGTTTTGTATATTACGCATTCGGAAAGGAATAATCACGGAATCTTTGAACAAAATTTAGAAGCGAAAATTTTAAAAACTTAATATCACAAAACAGAATCAATCTAGCTTTTTGTTTGTTTCTGAGATACAGGGTGAAAACGAAAAGTTTGACTTTTTGGGATGTTATATCATACTTCTCATATAAGATAGACAAAGATAGAAAAAAAATGTTGGGCCATCTTTTCTGAGCCAACGTTGCCATTTAATATAATAATATATATTAACGTCGATTTTTGCGTTCGTTTTCCTGATTACATTGATGTATCCCAACCTATATTTATTTTATATACCTAATTATACAGTGCGTTCGAGATAAGAGGATCACCTGAATATCTCTTTTACTTGGCGTGATACGAAAAATTTGTCAAATATAATTTCCTATGCGACATTACCGAGGACATTACGCTCTATCTGATCGCATATTGAAACTTCCAGTATCACTTCCGGTTTAGCAAGAAATCAACGCAACTTTTGTTTTTCAAATGCAATGCACGCACGGTGCACCCTGACAGCACACGGTATGCTAGATTTCCTCAGTTTTCTAAATATTGAATCGCGAATTTCTCCATTTTTTTTATATAAACCACATGCACATTTTATGTTGTCGTACAGTAAAGTTTCAAACATCTTAAAAAATGGGGATTGAATTTGAAAAACAAAAGTTGCATTGATTTCCGGCTAAACCGGAAGTTTCAATATGCGATCGGATACATCGTCATGTCACATATCAAATTACTTATATTTAAATGAAAAATTCTCGCAAAAAAAAAGATATATGAAGGTGACCCTCTTATCTCGAATTTATAGTATATATTTTTCAAATTTTTGAATGAATCCATAGCCTACTATGTACTTAAAAACCATAAAAAATAAGGTTTTTATTTTTGGTTCATGGCTAAAATTTAACAACATAATAGGTCAATGTAATCAGGAAAAATAATGCAAAAAATTGACCTTAAGATATACTTACAGGGTGTTACATTTCAAAAATCCCAACTTTGGATCAAATCTCAGAAAAAGTGGCCCACATTTTTTTTTCCACGCCACGGGAATCTACGTAAAAATATTTAAAATAGCTCGTAACATAGGGAAGTTTTTACATACTTTCTATCTGACATGGATAGTAAGATATGATAACATCACCAAAGTAAAACTGTTTTCCCCTGTACATATCTCAGTAAAAAACTAGATTTAATCTGTTTGTGGAATTAAAAGTTTTACAAAAAAGTGTCACAGAGTCTCGAAAACCGCAAGTCTCTATCTATCAGATACAGTGCAGTCTCAACCACAATAGGACACATATATAAATGATTGTAAAGCTTCTGACAATTCTGAATTTAATTTAGAGACCTCAAAAATAAAAAGCTTAGGTTCTGCCGTCGCGATTGTTTCCATAAAAACATAATATTGTCATACGCTCTGAACTCGGTTCTGAACGTCATTTTATATCATGCATTTGAAATAAGAATGACAGACGTCATTAGAATGCACAGTCATCTGTTTCACTTTATCTACCCTTACGGTTAAAGTGATCACTTTATCTATCCTTACGGTTAAAGAACGACGTAGCCTACTCATTCAAACCTATTAAAATGTCAATTTAACATTTGCTATAAAATAAAATAATTGTTTTACTTCATTTCATGATTGCAGTAAAAGTACATGAAACGCCTAGACAGCAAGAACAAATACCTATTTCAAGAAATAGAAAAACAAATCTGGTCCCCTCTACCACCTGTAATAACAAAATATGAGCATTTAGATTATACTTAATCCATCGAAAATGATAAAAAAAGCAACCTGTTTAATAAGAGAATACTTTTATTTTGTACATCGATTATTTCCAAAAATTAAAATATTTCAATAAAATTACATGGTGCATACTTCGCCATTTTTTAAATGCATATGAGGGAAATCCGGTCTCTCTTGCTACAAACAAGAAATAGTAAAACTGGATGGAGGACGATTTTCCTAAATATTGATACATAGTTTCAGGTAATTTCTGAAGTCTAGGTTAATTACTTGTCTGATTTTCTTCTAAAAGAAGGTTAGGTACTCAATTCAAATGAAATAATCGATCATTTCTGAAAAAAATTCCCACAGGACGCCGAGGTTTATTCTTCAGGTTAAATTTTGGGGTACAAAACAGGTGTTTCATGCCCTAACTACTTATAGATCAAGCACAGATTTTATAAGTCTATCTGGAACAGTGGAACTGTTAAAGAAATTCAAGTTTGCAAATCAGGCGCTAACTTCTTAAAAGACGGCAAAGGTAACCAGGTCATTTTCGAGTAACGCGAGTTAAACATGAATTAATTAGATGAAGGTAAACTGTTCCATCTAGGACATGTTTTTTTTGGGGATTTTCATAAGGTCTGTTTGTGTTGTTTTCAGGATCTCACAGAAGAGGAAAGATCGGCCCTTTGGCCGATTTAGGATCTGGGTTCGTTTAACTCGCATGATTCGAAAAATATGGCCATTTTGTTAAACCCATTAAATGAGTCATACTGACCGTTCGCTTTCATCAGCGGCTGCCGATGCTTCGGCCAATTTGGCGGTGGCCGTTGCCAATCTTTCTTCGGAACGTTCCAAATCTTCCTCCAACAATTGAATGCGACGATTGAGTGCTGCAACTTCTGATTCCGCCTGAAAAAAGTACGCGCATGTAATTTATAATTACGACCGTAAAACTTCTAACAGTACGTGCTACATTTATTTGATCGTAACCTTTATGGTAAAAAATCGTGACAGTGGTAACCATTATGCATTAAACGGAAGGAAACCAGGGGGATTGTTTCCGGTGACGTCAACGACAATATTTCTATGCATTTTGTTGCATTATGATGCAGGAAAATTCGGAATGCAACGACCTTGCCCCTGCCGAAACTGGTACGTGCCCGATAACCTCCAAGACTCCATGCGCTATCAATGGACGATTTTTTTCGTCGGTTTAATCGAAATGTCAGGGGGCGATCAATTTTTAATCGGTTAATAGGCTTTCGACTTATGTAGTCATTTCGAAATTGAGCTTGTGACTCAACGGTTTACGAGAAATTTTAAGTGAAAACCGATTTTTCGTGAATAAAAGAACAACCTTGGCACGTCACCTTCTTAAATCGATAAGAGGGGCAACGCACCTCACCTCTACGGAGAGCACCAAAACGGACCGCACGGGCGAGGCATATGCACAATTCCGCAAGTGAAAAAAGGATAGCGCGTTAAATATTTAATCAATTACAACAAATATTGTGGAAAGTACAAAAATGGCTTACTTCTTCGCGTCGATTCACTTCCAATTGTAACCTTTTTTGAAATTCCTCGCACTCGTCTTTATAACGTTCCATTTCCTCCTTCGTTTGGCGCATTTTCTTTTTAAGGACATCCAAAATGGTGCCCTGAGAAACTGTTGTGCTCATTATTAATAAATTTATCACAAAACACCCAACGATTAATTTAAAAAAAACTACGAGTAACGAGTGCCTCCCGACGTTGTTGAACTAACTGGGCGAGCCGGCTGAGTTCTTAATGGCGGTGCGCAGGATCAGTTCGGCCACCTGCCACAAGTTTCCTGTTCGTTTGAATAGAAGGCGCGGTACAAATTAAAATCGTTCCTTTCAAGCACAATTTGTTATAAACAAATATTATTTCAATCCCTCCGGTGCGACGTAAACAAGATGGCGCCACCGTTGGTCCGATAAATACCGGGGCGATTTAAATACATTATAAAACGATTACGGCATTATGAAATTTAAAAAAAATGCAACCATATGGTATCGCAACCGGGCAATTTAATTGTGCCAATGAAGGTCCATATATGGCCATTCCTCTCTTACGAGCTATGATGTAAGCATACACGTAAACGTTGCGTTTTACAAAAAAATTTCATTATCTACTTCACTGACAAATAGGTCAACGTCAAGTACGTTCGCAATTATTAATAAACATCATTACAATTAGTAATCTCAATGCGCATACATAATTAAGCCATTTACAAGTAATAAGGCCAGTGCAGGTGTGTAATATGCAATGCGGCCTGGACGTGTGCGAAGGCATGTGCCTGCTTGAAAAATGGTGAAAGGAAATTTTGGGCTGATAAACATGTCTTCCCAGACAGGAGAAATGACGTGCTGAAAGTTGATACCAGAATATTCTTCACCACACGACATTTGCAGCGGTTAATCACAATAAGACGATTCCATAATGAACGCAATACAAAGCACTCCCCAACAGATATTTCCAGAGATATTTATATATACCACCCTAGAGAATGCAGTACAGTAACACGGGGTCGGGCTCTTAAGGGTCCGTAATTCATGTGCCGCCATTGCCTTTGGCCCTTTGCTAAAGGTAGAGCGATTATTCAAATATAACCAGGGCCTACTGGACCATTTTAAAAACTTGACTTTCGTTTAGCTATCATCCAACCCCTAAAAAACACCCTGTAGATTCTTACTACCATTGACATATTATGCTAATTGCTACTGTACATTTGAATTAGGAGTAAATAATACAATTTGTTTGTTGTTTAAAAAAAGCCATTTGAATTAATTCGCCTCGGTGCCAACCGCGAGCATTCACGAAATATTCTTAAAAAAATTAACATTCGCAAGATGTACAGCACCAATCTAGTTTTTCTTACTTTGGTTTGGTATTTTTTTTTGAAAATCGGAATATTCACATTTAAAAACCTTTTCAAAAACGTATCGTTATCGCTATATTTATGCAGCTGTTGTTTTGAGGTGTTCTTTAATAAATGCCATTATGTTCACCCTGTATCATACCTTCATCCAAAGGGCGTTTCATTCATAAAAACACATTTGAGTACACCTACTCACTTTTAAGGCTTTTCTAAAATAGACGTATGTACCGTGTGTGCTATTTTGGTTGGGACTGCGATATATCTCACCTGTTTTGAAAGATAGAGGCTTGCGGTTTTCGCGACCCTGTGCCACTTCATTATGAAAATTTTAATACAGATTACAGAATCAATCTAGCTACGTTTGTTTCTGCGATACAGGGTGAAAAGGAAAAGTTAGACTGTTTGGGATGTTATCACATACAACTCATGTAAGATAGAAACAAGTAAAAAGGTTTTCGTCTCGAGTAACTTTAGCGCATTTTCAAATTTTCCATGCACTTGTCAGTACTTCCAAAAAAAAGCTGAGACTTTTTTCTTTACTAAAAGCATCTATGGTTAAAATTACAAAAAAATATCTCAATAAATACAACAAAGATGCAATTGCGTAATCTCCGCATTCGCGCTTCTTATTTTTGCAATATGCGATATGTTTGCCTTTACTAGAAGTATGTATAGCGTACATTTTGAAATTTCTGGTTTAACCCTGAAAATATTATAGCCGAACCAGGTCGATTAAATACGGAAACGGTCGTTACAGCCCTTTGAATTTTCTTTCGAAATTGGTTTCTACTCTATAACTTTTGATTGAGAAGTCTGATCGAAAAAGTACGAATTGTTTTGGATTCTACGCACCAAAATTAATAAGAAAAAGTGTTTTCCCGAGAAATTTTGGTGCAGTCGATTTTTGGTAAAAAAGGAAGGTTATACACTGCCTTTTTTTGAGGCCCGAAAAAAAAATTGTCTCAGATCGACCCGGAAAAAAATTTTCTTATAGAATGTGGCCTGTAGAATCCATAATTTCAAACAGTTCCAAGATTGGGCTACTAGTTCAAAAGTTACAGCCCTTTGAATTTTTTTTCGAAATTGGTTTCTAGTCTATAACTTTTGATTGAGAAGTCTGATCGAAAAAGTACGAATTGTTTTGGATTCTACGCACCAAAATTAATAAGAAAAAGTGTTTTCCCGAGAAATTTTGGTGTAGTCGATTTTCGGTAAAAAAGGAAGGCTGTACACTGCCTTTTTTTGAGGCCCGAAAAAAAAATTCTGTCAGATCGACCCGGAAAAATTTTTTCTTATAGAATGTGGCCTGTAGAATCCATAATTTCAAACAGTTCCAAGATTGGGCTACTAGTTCAAAAGTTATAGCCCTTTGAATTTCTTTCGAAATTGGTTTCTAGTCTATAACTTTTGATTGAGAAGTCTAATCGAAAAAGTACGAATTGTTTTGGATTCTACGCACCAAAATTAATAAGAAAAAGTGTTTTCCCGAGAAATTTTGGTGCAGTCGATTTTCGGTAAAAAAGGAAGGCTGTACACTGCCTTTTTTTGAGGCCCGAAAAAAAAATTCTGTCAGATCGACCCGGAAAAATTTTTTCTTATAGAATGTGGCCTGTAGAATCCATAATTTCAAACAGTTCCAAGATTGGGCTACTAGTTCAAAAGTTACAGCCCTTTGAATTTTTTTCGAAATTGGTTTCTAGTCTATAACTTTTGATTGAGAAGTCTGATCGAAAAAGTACGAATTGTTTTGGATTCTACGCACCAAAATTAATAAGAAAAAGTGTTTTCCCGAGAAATTTTGGTGCAGTCGATTTTTGGTAAAAAAGGAAGGTTATACACTGCCTTTTTTTGAGGCCCGAAAAAAAATTGTCTCAGATCGACCCGGAAAAAAAATTTTCTTATAGAATGTGGCTTGCGGAATCCATAATTTCAAACAGTTCCAAGATTGGGCTACTAGATCAAAAGTTACAGCCCTTCGAATTTTTTGTCGAAATTGGTTTTTTGCCCATAACTTTTGATTGAGACGTCTAATCGAAAAAGTACGAATCGTTTTGGATTCTACGCACCAAAATTAATGAGAAAAAGTGTTTTCCCGAGAAATTTTGGTGTAGTCGATTTTCGGTAAAAAAGGAAGGTACACTGCCTTTTTTTGAGGCCCGAAAAAAAATTGTGTCAGATAGACCCGGAAAAAATTTTTTCTTATACAATGTGGCCTGTAGAATCAATAATTTCAAACAGTTCCAAGATTGGGCTACTAGTTCAAAAGTTACAGCCCTTTGAATTTTCTTTCGAAATTGGTTTCTAGTCTATAACTTTGATTGAGAAGTCTGATCGAAAAAGTACGAATTGTTTTGGATTCTACGCACCAAAATTAATAAGAAAAAGTGTTTTTTCCGAGAAATTTTGGTGCAGTCGATTTTTGGTAAAAAAGGAAGGTTATACACTGCCTTTTTTTGAGGG